TGGGCGACAGAGTGAGACTCCAACTCAAAAAAAAAAAAAGAAAAGAAAAGAAAAGAAAATAAGAGGGGCATTCAAGCACAAGAGTAGACCAGACAACGGGAGGAAAGATCCTTGAGGTCACTATGGGAAAGGAGAGAGTAGACGCCCTCTTAGCCGCTGTTCCTGCAGTTGGTGGTTATTTTGAAGCTAACGTGCGCTTTTGAATCTGAAAGATGCCATAGCGGGCAGCGATGCTCAGCTCTAGGTGAATCACTCGGGGTCGAAGCACCTGGAAAGCTTTTAAAACCACCGATGAGCCGGGCGCTGTGGCTCACACCTGTAATCCCAGCAATTTGGGAAGCGGAGGCGAGAGGATTGCCTGAGTCCAGGGGTTCGAGACCAGCCTGGGCAAGGTGGCAAGACCTCGTCTCTACAATAAATCAAAAAATTAGCTGGGCGTGGTGGCGCACGCCTGTAGTTCCAGCGACTTGGAAGGCTAGGCGGAAGGTCGAGGCTGCGGTGGCCATGAGCGTGCCACTGCACTCCAGCCTGGGCAACAGAGACTCTGACTCAAAAAACAAAACAAAACAAAACAAAAAACCACGGATGCCCAGTCACTGCTAGGCGCTATGTAGATTCTGATTCAATTGGTCTGGAATGTTGCGAAATCGGGAGCAGTTGGGTTGTCAACTGGAACTTCTGAAAGCTGGACTAAAATGGCCCACGTAGAGTAGAAGCTTCTTACAGTTTGTATTTCTGCTTGCGCGTGATTGTGAGACTATCCCAGACGCCATAGATGACCCAGATCTCATTCTTTACTTCTACAGTTGATTTTTTCTTTTTTGAGGTGGGGTCCCTTTGTGGTCCAGGCTGGAGTGCAGTGGCAAGATCATAGCTCACTGTAGCCTAAAACTCCTGGGCTCAGGCCCTTCCACCTCAGTCTCTTAACTAGCTGGAACTACAGGTGCATGGAACACTGGTCATTTACAGTTGATCTTAAATCTGTGTGTTTGCTTGTTATGGTGCTTCCTAGCTTTGATGCCTTGGCCAGTTACAGCTTTAGCCAATTACAGTCTCAGTCCTTATATACTGACAGCTTAAGGTATGGTTAGTGAGCTCTGTGTATGTCACTGCATAGTTTCTATGAATAACTTATGCTTTTTGTTTCCTTTTTAAACTACAGTTCTTAAGTTCTCCCAATCATTTTGGTATGATTGCTTAGAGGAGAGGTATGCCTGCTCCACCCTTTAATCACCCAAAGTCCCTTTGACTATTCTCAACATTTGGGAAAGCTTAGAAAACATCATTTTACAGTTATATGAATCAGATATACCAGTAAACCTAAAAGATTGCATATAGCACTAAGCTTGGAGTCAGTTCAAGCAACTTGGTTATTTGATTATTTCCTCCCCCATCTTCTCTCTTGTGAGCTCCAATTAGTTCTCTCTTTTCCTTACTTTTCTCTTTTCAGCATGAGATCTTCACCCTTAAATGGGCATGATGTCTTCCTAAGTAGGGAATTTTTTTTGGCCCTCTTCCAAGACTAAACCTTTGGGCTTCTGCTGCCAGAGGGAAGAGAATCTGAGCATCTGACTGACTCTTAAACAGACTTTCCATCAATCCTCCCATTTTAAGCTCACATCATGCTTTCTTTCAGCGTTGCCTGGTGCTTCCCAGACCTGGGTCGTAGGCAGGGCTTAGCTGTCTAAATCAGGCTGCTTCATGGCCTGCTTAGGGTTCCCACTTCCCAAGTCCTCGGGCAACTGCCACTTGATCAATCTACTTTCCAGCCTTCAATGTTTGTTGCTATTGTCTCTTCAATGTTTGTTGCTATTGTCTCTTCTCCTATGAGGCAGAAAAAGTGCAAATCAGTGATAAGCATGTGAACAAAGTTCAACATCGCTCAAAATGTAAATAAAAAGAGTAAGGCCGGGCTCGGTGGCTCAGCCTGTAATCCCCTGCCTTGGGAGGCAGAGGTGAGTGAATTGCCTGAGCCCGCGGGTTCGAGACCCGCCTGGGCAACTTGGCGAGACCTCATCTCTACAATAAATCAAAAAATTAGCTAGGTGTGGTAGCGCGTGCCTGTAGTTCCAGCTACTTGGAAGGCTGAGGCGGAAGGATCGCCGGAGCCCAGCAGGTCAAGGCTGTGGTGGCCGGGAGCGGTCACTGCACTCCAGTCTGGGCAACGGAGTGAGACTCCAACTCAAATAAAATAAAATAAAAACAATGAAATACCATTTTTCATATGACTGGGAAGAAAGACATTAAGCAGATCTGTAATCTATTTCCTTCCTTGGTAGGGAAAAACTCCTAGGAAAGCCAAGCATGTGCTTTTTACAAATACGGCAATAACAGACCTCCTGGCAAATAAACAAATGATATTTACTAGCAGGAGAGTCCATATCTAGAGAATTCCTTTCACAAGATGTCCCTGGGCTGGGAATATTTATGGTAAATCTATGTGGATTTGAGGGATATGACTCCCTGGAAAATACCATGTAAGTCATGTAACTTATATAAGATGGAGGTGGTGCATAACTGAGATGGCTCCTTCTGTGTGAATGGGGTGACTACACACTGACTGAGAACCCATCTGTGATCCCGGGCCAGGATGCAGCCACAACAGGAAGGGACCTGGGGTATAGCACTCGGAGTCCTGAGCCTCTTCCTACATAGGACCTTCTGATTACAATCCTTGAAATTATTTGTAACACGACACTGGGTAAGATCTCTGATTTGAGTCTGATTTGACAGTTTGACCTTTTGTGTTAGGTAAGATGCAAAGGTTTGGACAATGATATTACAATATTTGGGGTGTGTGTGTGTGTGTGTGTGTGTTTGTGTGTGTGTGTAGGTATGTGTGGGTTGGGGGCAGGGTGGGAGGAACAAGCATTCTTAAACACTGTTTGTTGGTAGTATAAATGGATGCATTTTTTAAAAAATTCATGGAAACAATATGTCAAAATTTTATAAGAAATTCTTTTTGGTCTAACAATTTTACTTCTAAAATTTATCCTGTGGACACACACGCTATATAAAAGTATTCTATTAAAATATTCTTACAGAAATTTTGTAATAGTAAGACTGAAAAAAACCCCACCTTTAACTGTCAACAATAGGAAATTGCTGAAATAAATTATGGTATATCCATTCAATGGAATAATATAAGCCATTAAAATGAACTAGATAGATCTACGTGTGCCAACATGGACTATCTCTGTGATATGTTGCTATAAGATGAGAAGAACAAGATGCAAAGTAGTATATAGACTATATTTTCATTTGAGCATCTCTCTCTCTCTCTCTCTCTCACACACACACACACACACACACACACCAGGAGAACTAGAAGTCTGGCGTGGAAAGTGTTATGGACTGAATTGTGTCGCCTCAAAATTCATATGTTAAATTCCTAACACCTAATGTGACTGTATTTGGAGATAGGGCCTTTAGGACAGTAATCAAGGTAAAGTGAAGTCACAAGGGTAAAACCCAAATCCAGTGAGGCTAGTGTTGACTGCATGGGTACACAGAAGAGCCCACAAGGGCACATAGCAAGAAGGCAGTACAGAAAGAGAGGCTTTCCCAGAAAACTTGGCACCTTGATCTTGGTATTTTAGCCTCCAGATCTGTGAGAAAATACATTTCTGTGTTTAAGCTACCCAGTCCATGGTATTTTGTTCTGGCAGCCCTAGAAGACTAGTACAAAACTTTTTCTTGATGTGTGGTGTTTTATACTATTTGAATATTTTTTTACCGTGTGTCACTTTTTCAATTAAAACAAAACAACAGTACAGGTTCTTTCTTCTGCTAAAATTGGGACCAGTT